GCATTTGCGTTGGTGGTGTTTGGATGCGTCTCAACGAAGGGTAGGTGTTAGTCGCAAGAAGATGGGCTGAGAGGAGGGGTTGGAGGCTTGTGAAAGTGTTGGTGAGCGTCTAGTTGTTATGAGTTTGGTGGTGTTTGAGGTTGAGCTTGTGGTTGGAGTGTTGGTGATGGAAAGGTGTACACGAGAGTGAAAGTGGTGAATTGGGAAGGGGTAGAAAGTGTACAAGGGGAAGGTGGAGGAGGAGGAGTTGAGAAGGGTGGAATGGGATTGAGGTTGGTTGTTGGTAGGATGGTTGGGAGTAGGAGAGGTGAAGGGAGGAAGGGAGGAGACGGAGAATGTGCAGACGGAGGATGGTGGGTGTAAGGGATGGTTGAGGATTTGGAGGTGATGAATCGCGTTGTTGGCATTGCGATGGTTTTTGAAGTGTGAATGAGTGTCCATTTTATTGGTCGAATGTGGTACCCTACTTGGTCACTCACTTGCGCGTCCACTTGCCTGTTTGGCATTTGACAAGTCTGCTGGTGACGGCGATGACGAGGAGGTAAGGAAGGAAGTAGGTGATGGTGATGGTGGAGGAGGAGGAGGAGGAGGGTGCAATCGGCGTCTGGTTATGCGTCTGTGTGTGTGTGCGTCGCCGTCGCCGGGCTTTGGTTTGCGAAAGCGTTGGCTCATGCAAGTTGGGCGATCAATGCCAGCCAATGGTCATAATCGTAGCCGTCCGGCTGTGTGTGTGCGTGCGTGGGTGCTCATACGCGTGCCTGCCTGCATGTCTACTTGCCTGGTGTGGGCACTAAAATGTGGCCGCCCTTGCGTGTCGCCGCCTTTGATGTGCCGTCGGTGCAGTAATAGTGGTAGTAATGCCTGCACTAGTCATCGTAGCGGCGGCAATAATAATGAAAGTAGAAATAAATTCTCATGTCCTCCTCCTCCTCCTCCTCTTTCTCTTCTCCCCTTTGTGTCTCCTCCTAGTTCGTTCAGTCGAACGTTGGCAATTGTGGATGTTTTACACCCTTTCTGTCTGTCTGTCTGTCTGTCTATCAGTCTACGCGTCTGTAGGTGTGTGTGTGTGTGTCGAGGCCAGGGAAGCAGGAAAGCAGTGAGGCAGACAGGCAGACTTGCTGACAGACAGATGGACGGACAGATAGATGGATAGATAGATAGATGGAAGACATCTAGGGTGCATGAAACATGTGTATGTGCGTATGGCTGGTCGAGAGGGTGAGTGGGTTGGGTGTGTGACGTGTGATGCAGATTTGCGACCTTACGTAGGACGACGACGACAACGGCGGCGGCGGCGACGGCGGCGACGGCGGCCGCGGCTGCGGGGCCGAGAGCGACGGTGGAAATGTAGAAAGTGATATGTGCGTGTGAAGTCGTAGGAGCCCTAGATGGGAGTATTTAACTGCCGTGTCGTGGCTCGGAGAGGGCAGGCCTTAGGGAAGCCTAAAGTGGAACGAGTGGTCTTGGTTGGCATCCTTGAATGCGTTAAGA